CCTTCTCTGGGCTTTCTCTCAACACATTCATCCCGTCATCACCCGAGGCCGATGCTGGTTCAGCAGGAACTGCTGTACCACCTCCAGGAGCTGTGGGATGAAGAGAGGTTGTAGCCAAAGTAGATGATGGAGTCGAGCGCGGTCGGCCGATCGAGGCGGGAGTGCATGGATTGGCATTAGACTTGGCTGTTGCAGGAATATAGGGGACGTAATCCCTGACAACAAGCTCAATCTTTTCTCCATCCGGTTTCCTGAAATAAGGTGATTTACCGGATCTCCAAATAAAATCATATCCTTGATCAACACATCTCACGCCGACGGACATCACGGGTGGTGTAGACTCGAGGAGGTATGGTTCAAACCTGCAACTCAATGTGTCATTATACACCTTTGCCTGAAGATTGGACGAACTGTGACCATTAGCTGTTATTATGGCAATTGGTCGGTCCGAGCGGAATTGAAACTCATCAGGGATGTCATGTCTTGTCAACAGGCCCTGGGCGCTTCCGGTATCGGCGATCCAGTCCTCATGCGAGTGATGGAAGTACTTGACCTCCCTGGGTGAGGAGGCAGGCAAAGCAACGATGTCGGCCGGAATGCACGAATCACAACCTAAGTCGGAATCGCACATGTACCTACATGCCGCCTTGGTCCCTTTGAGCCAAGCGGAAACTGCTCCCTGAAGCATGCGCGCTGACAATATCGAATCTTCTACAGCTTGTTTGTTGTGCTTGGTCTGGTAGCTCACTGGGAAAGTCTTCTTCGGTTTGGATGGTTCAGAAACGAACGGATTCAATCTGCCCCATGCATGAATCTTCGTGATGTCAGGTTTGAGGTTGAACGACACACCTGGACATGCAATATGTGGCTCGCCTTCCCAGGCCGCCTGGCTTTCATTGACAGTGATTCCGACTTGATCCATCATGGATGCCGGGGTGCTCAACGAAAATCCATCGACGACTGATGCGAGCATGGACGCAACCAGACAAACTGCAGCCGGGGTGGCTTTGCCTGCGCTGCCCTTTGAACCACGAGAACCCTTGGACGATTTAGAGCCTCCGGACTTGCGTGAACCACTGGAGCCCCTCGACTGAGACCGGTCTCCCTTCTTCTTTCGGCGCTTGTCCTTTTTGCTCTTGTCGCTTCTCTGCGAGTCCCGTGAAGGCGATCTGGCAGGAGTGGCCTTCCTAGGTCGCTGTTGACCTTCATGGGAGAATTCACACTTGTCCCCCCGCTTGCAGCGTCCGGCCTTCCAAAACTTGCATGGAATCTTAGAAGTGTCCCTTTTCTCTCTCCCTCTTGACTGTGAGCGCCCCCTAGGACTCTTGGTTGCGCTCTTCTCACGTTTCTTGGGAACCTCATGCTTGAATGGACAGTTTTCTTTGCTACAGCCCCCTTTATTCCACTGGACACAGAAACCCCTGGGGATGAATGGCGTGCGTGCGTCGGCAGCAGGAGCGGACGTCTTGGCACCCCCAACACTAGCGGCAATCCGTCCCCGATTGTCCTCTAGCCTTTCCCTCATGAGATGTCTACGAACAGCATCATACAGGAACTGATAGCAGTGCTTTGAACTTCCCTCTTCGGCCCGGTGGTACTCCTCAATGTCATGGGCGATTGCCCTGTGGTTCTTCACTTGTTGGTAGAACAATGTTTCCAGGACAGTAGTCTCAGGCAAATGAGTAACACCTGTGGTAACAGAATCCCAGTTTGACAAAAACGTCTTGAGATTGTCGCCCTTCATCTTCACATTGAACAGATCACTGAGGGAATAGGTTGCTCCATGCTTGATGTTTGTGCTGAAATATTCATGCATCATGAGCAAAACCTGTCTTCCCCTGACCGGGCGATCTTTCTGAGATTCTTTCTCCTTGAATGTGTCAACCTTGCGTGCGAATTCACCTGTAGCGATGGACGACAGTGCAGCGAGAAGCTTGGCATCGAGGGTAGTGAACCCATCAGGACTGGCAAGACCTTCAATGGTTTGACCTTCAATCCATACTTGCCATACTTTATTTACCCATGAGAACGCCTTGTCGGGCTTGGAAGATGCGGCCCTCACCGCATCCCTCACCCTGATCTTCCAATTGCGATAGTTCTCCGGTTGCGGAAAAGAAGGTATCTTGATGTGGTCTGCTTCCTTCGTGGTACTACTCCTTCCCCCAAAACCTGTTTGAGCTTCTTCATAAGAGCTTTGTCTGTCAGTTCATCGTCATCATCATCCTCAAAATCACCATCTCCGTCCAGATCGCTATCACCCCCCGGAGGCCCAGGTGGTCCGCCCCCCGACTTAGGAATCTTGAGAAGCGGAATGCCTGGAAGGTGAGGATTGGTTGGGTCACCCGACGAACGACCTCCACCAGGGTTGTCTCCTCCCCCATCCAGCGGTCCACCACCACCGTTCCCTGGTCCGCCCCTGCCAATGTGACCTGACAATGCATTGGCTGCTAATGAACCATATCCATCATTCCATGGACTCACCGGCTGGAAAACTGTAGCGTTTGGGGAAAATACGCTTCCGGGTTGAGACCTCATGGATGGAGTACCGAACAAATCAGCAGTCTTGAAAGATCGGACATCATCGGCGTTGGACAAACCTGTCAGTGGTGCTTCATGTACCGGTATGGACTCACGAAGTTCGGCAGCTCCTTCCGAAACGCCTGGCACGTTGTCCTTTCGTCCCTTCATTTCTTGAAGTTCCTTCAGGAGTTGTGCCTGGATAGATTCCGTTTCAGATAACCGCCTTTGCAAATCCATAGACGCTTGTTGTTGTTGCGCCAAATTCATTTCAAGGAATGAGACTTTTTGACCCTGCATCATTTCAAGTCCAGCGATCTGTTGTCGATGGTTCATGGCCATTTCCATGAACTGATTCTGAGCTTGTTCTTGTAGCGTTTGATACCCAGCTTCAGCTGCGTTGATAAATGTTCGCGCCTGGTTCTTCATCTCCTCGTTTTCAGAGAATGCTTCATCAGCCTCACCGCGGAGCTTCTGTGCCGCGAACATTAATTCTGCTCGCTGCCCCTCGAGTTGCTGGTTCTGAGATGCCTGGCGCATCATTTCCGCCACAATTGCAGGATGTGTTTGCACGAATGAAAAATTGGCCTGATTAAAAACCGGCGCGGCGTTCCCGCCCGCTCCCCATCCGTCAGCTGACATGGCAGACCCTCCGTCTGGTGTAGACGAGACGCCCGGGTCCATCAGTGGCAAATGGAAAGTGGCGGGGTTTCCACCCGCGCTCTCCCGCCCATCCGTACTGCCGTACGGCGCAGCCAGCCTCGCGAGGGCTGCCGTATCCAGGCTTAAGTCCATGGCTGCGAATGACGGAGAAGCTATACAGTGGGCCTAAGGCTATACGGCTGATAACCTATGTTTATAGGAAATCAACCAACAGTGCACACCTTTTTCACTTGAGCCATAACGTCGGAGTTGAGAGGTATATGTACATAGTGTACGTGGAACATGACATAAAAACAACCACAAACACACAAACACAACCACACAACCACAAACACAACCACCATCACAATCACAAACGCGCAACCACAGCCAGCAAGGCAATCACAAACACGCAACCACAAACACGCAACCGCAAACGCACAACCATAAACACGACCACAAACACAACCACAAACACACAACCGCAACCACAAACACGTGGCTGTTACCAGTGTCTAGAAAACGCAGCCGTTGCCAAAACAGCGCTCTATCGACTCAAAAAACGCAACCGTCGCAAAAAATGCGCCTTACTGTTCGGAATGACACCGCTGTCTGGAAATAACCCGCTTACTGTTGCAATTAACGCGCCCCCCTCATCCCGACTTCCGTGAGATGAAGACGTTTCTGCCCAAGGTCATCAGTGCCATTGACGAGACCTGTAAGGATGAACGCGCCGAAGCGAGTGCCGAGCGTCGCAAGGAGAAGAACAAGGAAAATCGCCGCTCAGGCATTCCACAAGTGTAGAACACATTGCGCTGATTGTGGTGAGGTCAATGTGACAGGACACGCGCCAGTCCAAAAACACCATGTGACTGTGGTGCATTTGCACAGACATGCGCAGTAACTCGCGCCCTCTTTTGGTGCACTCTTGCAGTGCACTCTTGGATGACAACTGTTGCGGGACGCTCTCTTGAAAGAGTTCTCATGTGTGACACTCCTGGCGGCGCGCACTTTCGGGCGCAGCCTTCAAGACACCCGATGGTTTACAAACACCGATTGCAATCAATGCAAACTCCTTAAGACCCTGACGCGTATATCTTCCACGCGTTGCCGCTGTGGTTTTCATCAACCACCTTGCAGGCAGAGGCACATTCTTTGCAGGCAGAGGCAGAATCGAAAGTGAAGTGGTGACAAAACCCGGTCGCTGAGCTGAAGAAGGATTGAATCCGTAGTGAGCTCCCATGTCCCGCAGTTGCATTTTTGTATTGCAGGTCTCTTTGCAATCACCTTCATGGATTGGGAATCGAACTTCGGAATGGACCGAGGCGAAGCTGGAACATTTCCCTGGAGGAGGTGACAAGTTGGATTGGATCTCAACGCGCGCTTACCGTGACAAAGACAAACGTGAGAAGATGATTTGCAAAAGGCGGCCAGACGCAATGTCTATCGCGACCGGGTCCCATGTGTTGCCATGGGGACAACGCGAGGGACAAGGGAAAACATGAATTTACAGGTCAACAGCCTAAAGCAACCAACAAGCAGAGCGCTCCTCTTCTTGAGCCAAACACGGGATAAGTCAGACATGTACAGTCCAGTACACCAGCGTGAAAATACAAAAGAGTCCTACGGCTGATAACCTATTTCAAAAAAGGTAACAGCCTGAAACATACACCTTTTTCTTGAGCCAAATGTTCGGGTCGAATCAAGCTAGTGTACATGCTATTTACAGTAAAAACGCCGAGTAAGTGTGGAGCACAACCAACCATCAACACAGTGGCCTAAGGATGAGATTGCTTGCGCAACAATTATGTAGGGCGAAAGCCACGCAAAACAACTCCTGCCTTTCAGTGTAGCCGTCCAAAGCCACAAGAGCATTTTTGAATACCCCCAAGTAATCCTCCGTGTCAGCAAAATAAAGATCAAATGTTGCCCTCAATTGCCACCATGTCTTGTCGATGCTGCTAAGGGAAAGCATGATGGAATCCTCCTGGGCCTCTGCTAAGATATCCTCTGCGCTTTTCTCAGCTGCATGTTTGTGCAACCAATGATGCTTCTCCTTGCTTTTCACGGCTCTGTGATGAAAGACCCCAAGTGTGTGTGCTTTGGACCTCATGACTTCAGTCATAGACTTCACGTATTCAGCCACATTCACCGCCGTATACTGAGATGAAGTCAGCTTGCGCGATGTGGTCTCGCTCACAAGTGCACGAAGTTTCTGCACCCTGCTGGACATGTGACCTAGATGGGACGAGAGATTTGAAGCATTCAAGTCTGAATTCCCAGTGCTGCGAGCGTGAGCAAGAAAGGTGTTGATGGTTCGGGTGGTTGCTGTTGCTTCTAAGGGATGCATCTGCGCCGATTGAACCATCTGCTTCATCTCATCTAGACTCCGAGTCATGCCTTGCACAATGAGGTTAGGATTGTCGCTGCCCCCTTGGTCTTGGCCCAAATAGAACTCAAACAGCTTCCGCGTGTTGTTCGAAATGGTCTCTGCAACACTCTCCAGCCCTGTGAGGATAGCTGCGTCACCTTTCTTGACAGCATCCCTGATGCAGTGCAAATCGCAAAACATACGCGCTAGGCCATGCTGCAAAGGGGCGCAATCATTTGTGCTGGCAAGGTTGTTGGCCTTTCTCAAGAAATGGTTCCGCAAAGAAAAACCATGGGTTGTGGCCGTAGAAGCTGTGTTCAAAGCATAGGTGATGAAGGCTTGTAGAAATTGGAGGCCAGCGTTTGATTTGGCAAATGCACGCCACACATCATTGAGTTGTGATGCAAACGACAATGTCGCCTGTGTTCCGGATTCGGCTAGGGACCTGAAATTCTGAATGTCGCCCAAGTCGTATTCTCTGGAAATCTCCCGATCGGAGCATTCTTTCACGGTCCGATAGGTCAAGCCTCGTCCTGCCGTGCCACTTGAGCCATCGTTTCCATAGTCAGGGTCCGAACGGACTTTGTCTCTTGGTTCCCACGACATGCCTGCGCCGAGCTTAACATTCTGGAGGCTCTGTCCTGTTTCGTAACTCTCTGTGCTGTAGATGTACGCACAGGGGTTCTCAGCGGGGTTCTGCGGGTCATCTGACCAGAGACCTTCCGCGTTGTCGTTCATCTCGTCTCGCTTGAAGTTGGCGTCACCGGGGTGGAACTTGTCTTGGCACTCTGGGACGTAGTCGGGGTCGTCGGCGGCGAAGGTGAGAAGTGTCGGTGGAGTTTTCCACTTGGTCACAGCAGAAGAGGTCTCTGGTGTGGCCAAAGCCTCAACGCCTTTGCCAGTGAAAATGGAATTGAAGTCCAACATGGGCATCGCATGGAGCGACTCCTGGCTCCCACTTGACACAAGTTCTGTGTCTCCGAGGTCCAAGGGGTGCACCACATCTGCTTCCACCGCCCAGGAGTTGGTCGACTCCGTCACCTCCCACTTTCCTTCAGCTCGGTTGTAGAGGAGAGTGCCCGTGGCAGTTGCATCCGGCTTGAAGCTGAAAGTTTGTTTGAAGCTTGGCCGGCCGGAATCGTCCAAACCTGTTGGACAATACATGCCTTCAGCTTGCTGCAAAGAGAACCCACTGCTGTCTGAAAAGTCTGAAAACTCCTCGGTGGGGTTCAAAGCCACTGGGAGCATGGCCAAGCTGCAGCAGGTGCCCTTCAACCGCAGAGATGCAGTGGCAATGTTCGGCTCAAACTCCAAAGCGCGGAGGGCGTTCCGCTCACCGCAATCCACCAAAACGAACTTGAGTGAAGCCACATCACTCAACGGCACTTCCAAGGACACTTCCTCCCAGCACGAACCCAAACCTGCCACTGTGGCGCACTTCCATTTGAAGACGTGTTCACCATTCTCTTCAATCTTTTGCAGGTCCTGAAGGACTTGTTGGTCCCCGCAATGAAGGTGCAACTCCGACAAGCCCGGCAGCTCATCAAAAGTCCATTGGTAAGCGGCATCTGGGTCGTCCTGATTAGAGTTGGTCGTGCCATACCGGCTAAAGTCTAAGGAAAACTCACCTTTTTGCTTGATGTAGATTTTCTGTCCGTTGTCGTCATCGTCTTCTTGGAAGCCGTAGAACTGATTCGCAACAGTATCTGTTGCGTGATAGAAGGTCGTTTTCAAGAGATTAGTTGTGTAATACGCTTTAACTGTGTGCTCCCCATCAAGGTCTTCAGCAAAAAGAGTGAATGTCCCTGAACTTACATCAGCATCAGTTTTCGCAAACAATTCTTGGCTCGAACCTTGACACGGGCCGACGGAGGAGAGGCACTTGTCGGAGGTAGTTGCATCTCCACTTGCAGAACTGCACTCGGCCCAGAGAATACACTGACCATACTCCCAATTTCTAATCGCCAGTTTGAGCTTCAGAGTGAGCTCTGCGTCGGTGGAGCGGATGCTGGCCGCAGGTGTGCAGTTCTTGGACATTCCCAATTTGATGACTCCATTGTCATCTTGACCGAAACTGAAACCCCTAAGCACAGTTGCACCATCGCATGCAGTGACGAGTTTCAACCCATCGTAGGAGGTGGTGTCGTCAGTTTGATCTCCTGCGACATACTGAGTCACCCCATTTAAGTAACTCAGCAGGAGCTGCGCGCCCACCTGCTCGACGGGAGCAACCGAAAGTGGGCGAAACAAACACGTTTGAGAGGAAACAAACTGATGTGATGAAAGTTGATTGCAGCAACGGGGCCTGCAAGAAACTGAACGCAACTAAACCAAAAGCCACGATGGCCCCTCTTGCGGTCTTACCATCCATGCGCCGGCCAAGCGCGTCGCACACCCAGCAAATCCAACACGCAGAACAAATTGTCCTCAACATCGACGTGTGCGCGAGGACATTTATGAGCGCGCGTATAAGAGGTCAGATGCAAGAGCGTAGCAGCACCAATGTGAGAGAGCACTTGTGGGAGCAAATGGAAGCACATACACGAGAGCGCAAAAATGAGAGCACACATACAAACGCACACCCAAAAGAGCGCACACGGTATTGGAGCACAAATATGAGAGCGCAAAAATGTGTAGCATTAGTCGTCGTCGTAGGAGCAGTATAGTGGTATAGTAGTCGCAGTCGTAGTCGTAGTAATCGTCGTAATAGTTGTAGTATAGTGGTAGTAGTAAAGGCAGTAGTACTGGTGGTGGTGGTGGTAGTAGAAATAGTACCAGTAGCAGTAGCAGTAGGAGTAGCAGTAGCAGAAGCAGTAGTAGTAGTAGCAGTAGTAGTAGCAGTAGCAGAAGTAGTGGTAGTAGTAGTAGTAGTAGAACTAGTACTAGTGGTAGTAGTACAAGTGGTAGTATAGTACTACTAATAGCGGTTGTAGCAGTAAAGTCGCGCGCCTGCTACAGAATCAGCGCTTTAAATCGCACGAGGCGCAGCCAGCTCCACTAAAATCCACATCAAGATTCACATCGCGCAGCCTTGGCAAGGCGTTTCGCAACAAAAGCGCTTCCACAAACAACAGCGCGCCCAAACCCTTTTGAGTGTGCAGATGGCCCACACGCGCAAAGAAGGCTTGTGCCGGCTAATTGGGGTCACAGAAATCATCTGAGGCCACAGCCTCGCACCTCAATGTTGGTGTCGCCCTATGGGCTTTGTATGATGGTTGGCGGTCTTGTGCCGTGTATGCACGACTGATATGGAGTCTGATCAACACCTGTCATACGCAAACGAAGAGGGTTATGCCACGACTGATATGGAATCTGACCAAGTCCACGTTAGCAGCCGCTAAGCTAGCAGCACTTGTCTTTAGAAGTAGTCTGTTTGATATGTAGTCTGATCAACTCCACGTACTACCTGCCTTTTGAACTGCCCTTCATGCTGTGACTCTATTCTTTTGTCAAGGGCTAGCCGGATTGTTCAGAAAACAATATTGTTTTTTCTGGATGTGTCGGACATGACCGAACGAATGCCCGCAAACATCACTGAATGCGTTCAAAAATATCGACAGCGAAATCAGCAGTCCAAGTCCTGGTCTTTGAATAATGGTATCCTGTTGTTGGCCATCACAAATTGCTTACTACTATTTGTGATCGAAACTTGTCATACTATGTATGTTTGTGTGTCACGGTCCTTGTTTGGGGGCACTGGTTTGGGAACATGACAGAACACCGCTGGGAGTTTTTTTCACGCAAAGTGCTTCAATGCGTGGTCGCGGTCGCTTACAATGCACAACAGTCCACCAAACGTCAAATTGAACTATTATTTGCATTTTAAGTCGATCCATCTTAAATGTATCACAACTTGTTTGCGCATATTTGGACCGCGTCATGGTTTTCTCAGCAAAACTCGCAGGCCCGCATCCAGTGCCCGCTGCACCAGTCACCTGGGATGTTGTTTTTTTCTACAAGCAGTTCTCTTTTCAACAAATAGGGAAACTACCTTTTGGACAAAAGGTTGTCACTCGCAATTGAGCCAAATCACATATTAGTCGACATCTTTTTCGTCATCATCTTCTAGTGGTTCTTCCTCTCCTCCTTCATCACAGCAATCACCATCAGCTGCCGCGTCGGCAGCTTCGCCTCCATCCGGCCAACTAGCGCTGGCGGCAGCGGAAACCATGGCCTCCTCAGTGGGGTTCGTTGCTGGAAATTGAATTCATGTTCTTTTCGGACGCACCACTGTTTGCAACAATACGAGAGTTACTGACGGGTCTCCTGCATGTTGCGAACCGATTCAACAGCAGTCCCCTTCTCAAGGGCCACCCGAGCTTCTTCCTCAGTGCAGAGTGGAGGGGCCCTAGTGAAATTCAAAATGCAGTTAGTTCATTTCTTGAATCTACTAGTTCATTGGCGTCTGAGAAACTGCAATTTCCCTCAATTTCTCGGCGCTGACACCATCTCTTGGTTTCACCTTGCAGGGCCATGAACACGCCTGTGGCGAAACACATGCTCACAAATGATTGTTTGAATAGGGAGACATGAGTTTATTTGAACAAATATGTTTTCAAACACCCCATCCTGACACACTCACTGCCACGATATTTGATGCCCCATACGCCGTTCTTATACATGCTTTTGTACGCGCGTGCTGGGACATCTGCGGCTGCTGGTCTCTTCGTTGTTCCCTTTTGTGTGGCTGGTTTCTTTGCAACTACACGTTCTTCAGCTTCGCATTTACGTTTTTCTGGCAGTGTCGCCTCTTCGACAGGGACCTCAGGTTCCTTGGCTGGCTTTTTGGTGGCTGGTGCTTTGGGCGAAACCTTTGCTTTGGCCGAAACCTTGGCTTTTGCCTTTGAGCTGGGGGCCTTTGGGCTGGGGGTTGCTTTTGCTTTGGGATCTGGTGTGGTTGGGGCGGGGGCAGGTTTTGCTTTGGGGTCTGCTTTGGCTGGGACACTTGAAGCCTGCTCATCGTCTGACAAATCATCCACCGCCTTTAGCGGCATGGCGTCCAAACAAGGAAAAAAATTGGTATCTAA